TCATCAATCTTCGTACGCAAGCCCTCCGAATCTCTATCTGTGCCCGTAAGGGATCCACACCTTCCAATGCATCCTCCAACAGGAAACATGATACCCTGATCGCTCTCAAACCAAACCCGTTACCTCATTCGCGACAAATGCCTCAGGCCCCTCTCACAATTGTGTTGTATGCAAGACGGAGAAACATCCTTTTACGCTGTCAGCAGTTTAGGCTTTTGCCACACGAACAAAAAATTCAAACGTTGAAGATGAATGGGTTTTGCATGAATTGTCTTAAACCTGGGCATTCATAAAACAATGCAATCCTTGCATCATTGTAAGTGTACCAAAACCTCACCACACGCTGCTCCACATCGAAAATCCCCCTACTTCGACCACACCCTCACCTGGCCTGACTATCACTCCCAATCCTAACCCCAAGACTCCTCACGTTTCTGCAAATGCAATTGCTGGTCTGGCCACTAATTCACTGCTAATGACCCTGTAGAATTATGGTTGAGGTCCAGATGGTTCACACTGTGAATGCCAGAGCATTGCTCGACTCTGACCTCTTCGGCTTCATTTGTGTCAGCGCGATTGGTCAAGAGTCTCTGCCTTCCTCGTCTACCAACCAGACACCACAATCTGTGGGGTTTTGCAGGTCTAACTCGTATTCTCTTCCAATCTCTCACCGATCTCACCATCTCATCACCTCGAACTAATTGCAAGTACAACATCGCCGCCATTGTGGGTACCTCGGGTGACTTGTGAACCTAACGGTTCACCCTGTCTCGTTTGGTCCACACGTGGACCCATCTAAATGACATTCCTCCTCGCGTGATCCACACTTGGCACTCGGGAAGAATCGACTTCTTGTCGGTGTTGATGTCTTCACGTCGTCGTTTGTTGCACGGCCGCGGATTGGACCTCCCGGTACTCCCGCCTTCCTGAAACCGTGTTTGGATGGGTGCTAGCTGGTCCAACTACTGAGCCCACTCCAGGGTCGTTCATCACCTCACATCACACTTTGATTGCAACCGGTGATGACCTTCTACGACAATTCTGGGAAAGTACGAGGCATGAAACCAATCTATCACCAGAAGAAAGATCTGTTGTGCAGCACTTCGACAAATCCCATTATCGTGCAGCTGATGGCAGATTCGTTGTGCCACTACCCATGAAACCTCATGCTCCGACATTGGGTGAGTCAAGATCACATGCCGTTCGGAGATTCTTATCGCTTGAACAATCTCTGCACGCCAAGGGTGAATTCCATGCCTTTGATGCAGTAATGCAAGAGTATTTTGAATTGAAACACGCTGAACCTGTACCTGCAGCAGATCTCGACAAACCCCAACGTAGTGTATCTTCCTATGCATGCTGTAAAGAAGGAATCAAGCACCACTACCAAGATCAGAGCTGTCTTCGATGCTTCCGCCAAATCCTCCTCCAATGTTTCTCTCAACGACATTTTGCTAGTTGGTCCTACAGTTCATTCCTCTTTGATTGACGTTCTGCTTCGATTCAGACTTCACCGTATTGCTCTGACAGCCAATGTAAGCAAAATGTATCGGGCCATTGAACTTATCTAATCTGATCGAGATTTGCATCGATTTGTGTGGCGAAGCAATGAGGATGAACTTCTCAAGGACTATCTCATGACTCGTCTAACTTTCGGTGTGTCTGCCTCGTCCTTTGCTGCCAATATGTCAGTGAAACGTAATGCGTCGGATCATGCTCTAGAATTCCCGAAAGCTGCCGACGCGGTTGAAAGTGCATTCTACGTCGACGATTGCCTTGCAGGTGCTGACTCAATCGACGAAGCCATTGATCTGCACCATCAACTTCTCAATCAGTTTACCAATGGTAGCTTCCTACTACGCAAATGGAGTTCCAGTGACCTTGCTGTGCTGCTTCACATATCTCCAGAACTTCGGGATGCTCAGTCGACACATCACATACCTAGCCCCGAAGAGTACACAAAAACTCTCGGTGTAGAATGGAACGCCAACCTGGATCACTTTCGTCTAACAGTCGCCTCATTACAAGATACCGACAATGTCACCAAACGGGCCTTGATCTCCGACATAGCCAAGACCTTTGACGCACTTGGCTGGTTCTCACCTACCATCATCAAAGCCAAGATCCTGTTGCAACGACTGTGGGAATCAAGGATCGGATGGGACGATTTGCTGCCCCCTGCCATCTACCAGTCGTGGCTCCGATGGAGATCCGAACTACCTCTGCTGTCCGAAAGACACATTTCACGTTGTTACTACTCCAAGGATGCCACTGTCGAATCCATGCAGCTTCATGGATTTTGTGACGCCTCAGAAGACGCTTATGCGGGTGTCGTGTACATTCGTGTCCAGGATGGAGGTGGGAACGTACACATCTCGTTGGTCGTCTCAAAGACCAAAGTAGCTCCTATCAAACGGTTGACGATACCACGACTCGAACTCTGCGGCGCTCAGCTACTTGCAAAGCTCCTAAACCACACCATGCAAGCCTTGGACATCCCAACTCAGAGTGTCTACGCGTGGACCGACAGTACGATAGTCCTCAGCTGGCTGATTGGGAACCCGTGCAGATTCAAGACCTTTGTTGGCAATCGTGTATCGAACATCATGCAACTCGTTCCACCTGACCGCTGGAGTCACGTCGACAGTCCTGACAATCCAGCCGACTGTGCTTCTCAAGGCCTGTTCCCTTCAGAACTGGTCCAACATGAATTGTGGTGGAACTCTCCCAATTGGTTGAAACTGAACTCCACCCATTGGCCAACTTGGTCACCCACTACGTCGTCAGAATCGCCTGGTGAAGAAGAAAGGGATATTTGTCTGCATGCAGTGATCAACAAGCCGATCATTCCCTTGGACCAATCCTCCTCGTTCCTACACCTGAAACGTGTTACGGCATGGATTCTACGATTCATCAACAATTGTTGTCACAAGAAACAAGACAAGTCCTCTTACCTGTCGACTGCGGAGCTGATTGAAGCAGAAACCTATTGGCTCTTACTTACACAACAACAAGCCTTTCCTGAGGAGATCAATGCTCTGAAACGTGGCGATCCACTGTCCAACTCCAACCCTTTATTCTCTCTACATCCCTTTGTTGACTCCTCGTGGTTACTCCGTGTTGGTGGTCGGGGACGGAATACGGAGATGTCGTACTCAGTCATTCACCCGATCATACTCCCTGGGAAACATCCAATAACTTCACTAATCGTTTCATCGGAACATCGACGACTGATGCACACTGGACCCACACTACTCGCAGCATCACTCAACTGACGATACTACATCACCGGCTGCAGGAAGATTGTGCGTTCAATCACCCGTGGTTGCATAACTTGCCGACGCACTACGGCCAAACCCAAGCCTCAAGTTCTCGGACAGTTACCCGTTGAACGCGTTACTCCTGATTCCGTGTTTGACCGTGTCGGACTCGACTATGCAGGACCATTCACCATAAAGTATGGATCTACCCGCAAACCCACTCTTGTCAAAGCTTATGTGTGTATTTTCGTCTCACTCACCATCAAAGCTGTTCACTTGGAGCTGGTATCAGACCTCACAACTGATGCATTCATTGCCGCTCTACGCAGATTCATTGCTCGCCGAGGCAAGCCGTCGCTCATATGGAGTGATCATGGCACAAATTTCGTTGGTGCAGTGCGTGAGCTGAAGGAGTTCATCGCATTCTTCCAAAACCAGAGAACACAAGGCCTCATCTCAGAGTTTTGTGCCATCCAGAGCATCACTTGGAAATTCATTCCTGAGCGTACTCCCCATTTCGGTGGATTGTGGGAAGCGGCAGTGAAGAGCATGAAAACGCACCTGAAGAGAGTAGTTGGGGAAACCAAGCTGACCTTTGAAGAGTTCGCGACAATTCTCGCACAAATTGAAGCCTGCCTGAACAGCCGACCTTTGGTACCACTTCCCTGTGAGGGTGATGTCATCGAACCTCTGACTCCTGGCCATTTTCTCATCGGGAAGACCTCTCGAAGCCCTTCCCGATCCATCTGCATCTTACCAATCAATTTCTCTTCTGCGACGATGGCATCTTTGCCAACACATCATTCGCCATTTCTGGAAGAGGTGGTCTACAGAGTACATCAACATCATCTGTAGGTACGTGAAGTGGCACCACCCGTCGCGAAACATGCAAGTTGGAGATCTCGTGCTTTTACAAGAGGACAATCTCGTACCAACGAAGTGGCCCCTGGGACGAATTGTTGAAACACACCCAGGAAAAGACGGATTTGTACGCGTTGTCACTGTCCAAACGAGTAATGGAACTTACAAGCGTCCAATAACCAAGATTGTGTTGCTACTCCCTAACGAAAACTTAACTCTTATTGTTCATCATCTCCCACTAACTATCATTCTTCATTATTTCTCACGAACACTATTACTGATTGTATTTGCGTCTCACATTGTCATTTGAAGACCATCCGGTCTTGGCCGGCGGTATGTGCGATCTTTGTATCATGCCATATGCATTTCAACGCAAAATAAGAAATGTCAGTCAATATGGCGTGCAAAACTAGTGCTGGCTCCCTGACTCGAAATCCGCTCGCATCCGGGATGGAACTCTAACAGCTGGCTTTTACAATTTCACATTGGAACCCTTTCTTACTGTATGCCATACTATACTTTTGTTCTGTTTAAGTTCACATTAATTTTTTAGTAATCTGTCCCAATGTCAGTGCAAAACTACGTTGGGAATGACAGCACACACTTACATGGGGTGTGGCACTCTAATCAGTCATGGAAACCATGTGATTATTTTTAGTAAGCCTCAGGCCATGAAGTAGCACCCTCGCTGCGCTTGGAACGCCACAGCCCCAGGGCCAGGGCCTCTGCTTCCTAAAGTAAACGGAGTTTCCTAGACTTGTCATGTGTAGCTAACCAATTTCTTGCTTGCAAAACAATGGAAGTGACTCAGGCAATGCCCTTTTTCTGGGGCTTTGGTCTAGTCTATAGCACAAGTGTGATGTGTCACAGACTCACAGCCAGTCGGGAATAATAATATTAGCAAAAAGGATTACTGATAAGTTATGAGAGAAAGTGGATGTCACCAAGCGGTGATAACAAATTCAAATTTGCCACCCTGAGGGTGGAACGTCTGGAACTGAACATAGTAATCTCTATCAGGCATCAGTCTCTCCACTATCAGAGCGTTCCGTCCGTCTCCTGCTCCATCGTCATTCACACTGTGTGTGTGGTATATATAATGACATTATAGCGGATAGCATTGGTTCAAGTATGGATAGTGCTAAAAGTAGGTGTGAAACCCCAAAAATAAGATGTATACATCATACATGGGTAAATGGAAATTGATTCTTCGCAGTCTGTATTTTCCATAAGCAAAAAATTCAAAAGTGTGGTGGGTAAATAACTGATTTAGGGCAGATTATAGGCTGTATCAGGGAAAAAGAGATGCAATATTAGTGCGCGTTGAGTTCATGTGTGTTCCAAACAGAGCAGAAAGGAGTACAACGAGATTGCAGTGAAATTTGCGTGATAGTTGATTCAAGAGGAGTTAATTTACAGGTATACAGTAGATCTCACGTGATGACATTGGTGTAGTCGTCAGGTCCCAGAAGAGCCACTATCATGTCGGTGTCTCCCAGGGTCTGGATGGTGTAGCGAGCCCTGTTCTCGGTCGATGTGTGGAACCTCACCAGCAGCTCTGCTCCCGGTCCAGACAGCTCTCCTGTGGATTATAGATTATCCGATTATGTATGCAGGATTCTTCACACAGGATGCTTTTAGGTGCTGTGACATCCACACACAAGCAAGTACTGTATACAACAGTGAAGCTGGTTGGCATCACAGGTGTTCAGTGCCATTAGGACATTAGCTTATGTATGCTTACTTATAATATATAGGCAGTGGTACATGCGCCAAGCTCTTACAGTAAGTATGGTTAATATCTCACCACTATCAATACCCTACTTGGTGTTTGTTTTTCTTAGGGGAACCTTTCCTTAGACTCTTCATACAATATTTCTTGCATGCCTACTATATACCAATGTTGCATGTCAAGCATGTGCTAAACTGGATCTAAATTGAAAATTAGGTGAATATGTGTAGGCAAGCTATGTTGTAGTGCTCTAAGAAGTTTCTTCAATTCTAAACCTACAGGTTGGCGCACGCACCTTTGTTTGGCTCATAGACATGGATGTCATAGATCTTGTCAGTGCGAGGAGGAGGAAGGTGAGTGACTGGTTTGGTCCTAGCCTCTGGCATGGTGGGGTAGACTGGAACCACTGTGGTGGTCCGACCCCTCCCACCTCCTGCTCCTGACAGCAAAACACAGACAACGCTATTGACAAACATTGACTGGTATTCTCATTTTGTGCATCCACAGCATTAAAAGGGAATGTGGCTGTATATAAGGGCTAAATTTAGAACTAAACAATAGGGCACAGTGAAAGAATGTTCCATTTTTAGTAAAAGCTTACCAGCACATACGTAATAGTGCCACATTCCCTAGTGTCTTGTTCAAGGGCAGTGTATATAAGTGGTTATGCGCACACCTACAAGTCTTTTGATTCTGTCTTTGGAGTTTGCATGATTCGCAGAAGTTATTACTTATGTCTTATGCTACTTCTGTAAGTAGGGGTGACCCAATAATTAGCTACTGTGAAGCGGTTTACTCTTCTGGGGTTGGGTGGGGATGGGAGGAGGGAGGGACTTGTTGCCAGGGGACACTCTGGGAGGGCCGTACAGCCGTCTGACATGTTCCTTGTCACGGGGAGACAGCTCCATGTTCCTGTCGATTCCTGCCGGGTACTCGTCTCCCTTGATCCACTCCCGGGGGAAACTAATAGGACACATACACATACATTGTGGCCCCTCATACACCTTGGGATTAGAGTGCACATATACATGAATCTCTTTGCAATTACGTACAATGCAACAGACACACATCACGTGTACAGCATGTGTACATTTTAACTTTGGCCTCGTGCTTTTAATTATTAGTTTATGACCCCAGAGTTATGGTAGCCTTTGAAGTATTGGCCATACCTGTAGTGCATGATGCTGTGTGGGTCATAGAGAGAGCCGTCGAGATCAGATCTCTTGTAGCGACGGAACATGTTGTTCTCGATCCGATCAAGGTCCCAGTAGTTGGGTGGTCCAGACAGGTCCCTTATCACCTGATGGTCGTGGGTACACAATACAGTTGGTACTGGAGGAAGCAGACTCCCATTTTAGTAGGTATTGTGTACAAACGTAAGGAATCTCCTTGTAACTACCATCCTACATTGGATCAGAAAGATCAAGCATTACTGTGTTCGGTGATACGAGAATGTTGTTTGAAGCAATGGTTGCATTTTTTGTGGGAATATCGGGGCAAGAATAGACAAGCAAACCATCTGTATTACTTTCACTATCATGGAAGTATGGAATAGTAATGAGTTCTATCTTCCTGCACCCATTTCCTTTAGCTTAACCAATCCTTCTTTCGTCTCTATTTCACAGTACCTTCGGCAATCCGCCCCCCAACCTCCATTAAGAGTGTGTGAACGATTTAGCATTTTTTGTGGAAACATTAGGGCAAGAAGGACCAAGTATCTGTAATATTCATAATAACATTCAAGGATGGAATAGTATTGTAAACTTTCTTTCCGCAACTCTCCCCACCTATAGCTTCACCAATCCTTCTTTTACTTGTCAACAAACTGTAATGCCAACAAACTGTAATGAGGGTGTCAATGATTTTGCATTTTTTGTAGGGACACTGGTGGAAGGAAAGATGAGCCACTAATAGTTTTAGGTTGGACGATCATTGAAGTATGGAATAGTATTGTACACTTTCTTCCTGCACCTCTCCCTACCTAGTTTCACCAGTCCCTCTTTTGCCTCTATTTCACTGTCCCTTTGCCAATCCACCCCCAACCTCTAGTAAGGGTGTGAATGCTTTTGCATTTTTTGTAGGTTCATCAGTGCAGGAAGAGACAAACCAACTATATCCTCAATTTCTAATATCATTAGAGTATGGAACAGTAAATGCATCATCATTAGATCCAGTCCAGTTTTTTTTTCTTTCACTGTTATATATAAATGTACAGTTCTGTAGCAACCAATGTGGCTTAGTATTACACAGCTTACGGTTATCATCCAAAAAAAAGTCAAAGAGCTTCTATGAAAAGTGATATAGAGAACACTCACATTCTCTCTGTTCCACTCGAAGCCTCCAGGGAAAGGGCTCTGGTGCTCGTGGATGAGTCCCAGGGAGTGGCCAAACTCATGCATGACAGTGGAGCGGTCCACAAACCCCAGGTTCATGGTGAAGCTCTCTTTGGGGACACGAGTGGCGTCCGTACCCAGGTAAGACCATGACCCCTGACCTAGAGAGACGGGATATGAAAGGGGAGGAGAGAGAACACAATTGTGAGTAGAGAATTATAGTGGGAAACTGGTATGCATGTATGTACACAGAGGACATTGCTGACTAAGCTGTAATTAACTTCTGTTGACAGCCAAGCCAAATTATGTCACTGCTTACGCTGTGGTCCTATATAACTGATGTGATAATATTGCTATTGCATGGAAAGGGAATCACAAGTGGGGTGTCTTAGTTCAGCAATCACACATTCCAAAAAATATTTACTTTTTTTACCCCATCACAGCAGCATCATAATTATAATTATAGCTATATACCCTCATTGAAATCGACTCTGATGTCGCTGTCCCTGGCCTGCGTGGTGTGGTAGAAGATGATGGCACAGTGTCTGCTCCACTCTGCAGCCCACTGGAGAATCTCCGCCTGCTGTGGGTGGGGCTTCAGGAAGTAGACCTACAGTATAGCATTCGTATGCACGCTTATGACAAAGGCTGGTAGCAAAGACGAATCATTATTACGATAGCCATCTATTGTTACTCCTAATTGATGAATAAAAAGCTAGTTAAGCTGCTTAGGGTACCACATAGAGTTTTTCTTTGGGGACAAAATATTTTTTATTCTTCCACAAATTACGAGAATGGGCAATTATTATTGCGCCCACAGGGTATGTACATATGCGTGCATGACAATCTGTTCTGCTTACTGAAACGAAACTTAATATAGAGTAAAAACACTAGCCGTAGTTATTTTGTACAGTGAGTAGAAAGGCTTGCCTTCAGGTCTAGCTTCCTCCACAGTTTAGTGGTGAAACTAACAGCATCAAGTGGCAGGGGACACACTGGATCACCTGTATACACAGCAGGAATCACTGACTTGAGTATATAAGAGACTCAATACACCCATATATGCCACGGAGTATAGTATCCGTGCAACACCGACGGAGTAAAGACAAGGAGGAGGGCGTGCCGTGGCTGACCTGTATCTGAAGGGGTCTTTCTGGCCTGATAGAAGTGAGACTCTTGAGGAATGATCCTCTCGTAGCACACCTGAGCCGGTGAAGTTATGGCAGACTTCTTCGATCCTTTGTTCGCCATGTAGGAAGCTAAAGTGGTGTAGGCCTATAATAACGGCCACACAGTGTCGAGGGGGTTTGTTTACGAAGACCTGCGCATGCGCGTTTTGAAGAGGCGTAGGCGATTGAACGGGGCAACTTTAATTATAGCGTATAATAGCACAACAGCAAATGCGCCAGACTCTCTCAACAGCGCAAACACTTTCAAAAGTGACGTATGAACGTAGACATTCCAACCTTTGCCAATACTCGCTTCAACATCAAATACGGTTGTCAAGGATATTGCTTTTTTGTGGGTACACCAGTGGAAGAAGGGACAAGCCAATAACCCTTTATAATTTATCTACCATTGAAGTATGGAATAGTAATGTATATACTCCGTCTTTCTGCAGCTATCCTTATCTAGCTTTACCAACCCATTTTCGCCTCCCTTTTCGTGTTTCTTTATCATCCTAATATGGGTGTCAAGATTTTACATTTTTTTGTAACAGAAAAAGAGGCAGGCCAACCATCCATCTAAGTTAGACAATCATTGAAGTATGGAATAATATTTATTGTTCTCTACTTATCCTTACCTATCTTCACTCATCCATGGTTTTCTTCCACTCTTTGCTAATCCACCCAAAATATACAGTAGCTAGGGTATCAACGATTTTGCCTTTCTTGTAGGAACATCAGTGCAAGAAAAGACAAGCCAACTATCTGTAATATTTTAGTACTGTTGAAGTATAGAATAGTCATATACTTTATCTTGCTGCACCTATTCCTAGCTAAATTCACCAACCTCTCTTTCACCTCTCTTCTGCTGTCCCATTGCGAACAAAGTGTAGTGTCAACGATCTTGCATTTTTTGTAGGAACACTGGTTAAAGAACAGATAAGCCAACTAAACTTATAAGTTTAACGATCATTGACGTATGGACTAGTATTGTACCATTTCTTCCTACACCTCTCTCTGCCTAGCTTCATCAATCCTTCTTTTGCCTCTGTTTTGCTTTCCCTTTCCTTTGGCAACCCAACCCCTACAAGTGATTTTGCGCAACACCATGCAGATGAGGAAGAGCCAAGCCAGCCATTTTATAAGTTTCAGGATCATTGAAGTTGCTATGGGATAGTATTGTAAACTTCCATTTTACACTTCTCACTATTGCCAATCTCTTTTGGATCTGTTTCGCCGTCCCTTTGCCAATCCATCACCGACCTCTGATAGCTATAGGTGTCAGCGATTTCTCCTTTTTTGTAGGTACACCAGTAGGAGACAGGCCAACAATCAAAACAATCATTGGAGTATGGTCTCTATTGCCTCTGTTTCACTGTCCCTTAGCCAATCCACCGCCAACCTCTAAAGAGATAAGCTAGCTCACTTGTTCAGCACCTGTGAATCTTTCAGTTGATGAGGGCATTTCACTTCATAACAACCTTATTTAAAGTCAATGACATGATGCTGTTTGTTAGCTACTATGCTTCCAAAATTGGAGTTCTTCATCTTCTGAATCAATCACACGTTTGAAACACGTGATATTACTGGCAAACTTGAATATACGGTGATTATAGCACCAGCTATGATCTCAGAGAGTAAAAATTTATTACTATACACAGTGCGTGTCAGAAGTAGGACTCAAGAGTCCCTCTGCGGCGGACATCAGTAGTGTAGCAGTGGAAACCCCCTCCAAGTGCATTGGCATAGCTCATATCCACCTGTCAAACAGGAAAACAACTTTGACAATGTAAAAATGCTATTAAGTTACAGCTATAATGAAATAAGCTCATTGGCAACTGCGTCATTTTTTAAATAGCAAGCAGCGCACTAAACTTGTCCTTAGAAATAGGGTGTGGTAGTGGTGATATAAGGCATGAGATTACAATAGCACCATTGTCTCTGCTTTCTAATAGTTTTTTTTATAACTAACTAACGACTGGCATCATATCAAACAATAATTCTAGGTATACTGCCACAGCACGGTTGTGAAGTCACTGGCTCTTTTGGTATGTGAGAACCTTGATGCATTCGATGCCTAGTTTCTCAAACATCTTCTGAGTGGGGATCTCTATGGATGACACCAGAACCCTCTTTGGATCCAGCATGAGGACATTCATTGAGAGCCACTTGGAACTCATCCACCACGGAGGTTGGTCGGATACTACAGACCGTGGTACCTCGACTATCTGTAAAGCATAGAACAAAGCATAGCTATATATTTGCTCACAAATCAGTCGGACACACCGTAATGTCTGTGCCTATACCTTCCATCCAGCCTTTTCAAACATACTGAGTTGGTGGCAAGGTTTGTCTGGGTTAGCAATGATCAGCCCAGGTCCTATCATGGTGAATGTCGCATCGATGTGCATTGGACGTTTATCATCGAAACTTAGGACATGAATGTTGTACTTGTCTCCAAGATGGCGCTTCATCCACTGAATTCCAAACATATTTGTTACCTACAAAACACAAATTGGGACGAAAGCAGTCAACAAAGCGCACAACCCTTTTACATTTTACTCATGCTCATGTATATAGAAAGCAGAATCCTAACTTGATCAAAGCCTCGGTTTGTGATGCTGTGCACAACAACCATAGCTACACATTAATAACTATTTCGTGTGCTTCTACAAGTATATATACATGGCTTCTCTGGACAAATAAATCTTTCCCAGCTCGCATGAAGTCTGCAGCATCAAAGCAGGGTTCAAATTCAGTGGTGATATACTTGCCATTATACTCCTCCTGTAATAATTGAAATTGCTGTCAATATACTAGCGTCATGCGTGGCCAAATGAAATACCTTGAAAAAAGAATTGTCATAGAGTTGTTCGCCCATCTGCGGCTTGGGAGGTGTCGTCCACTTTGCTCCTCGCTGAAGGGAAGAGCAGTACTACAATATATTGCTGAGAAGCAAACAGTCATATCGCAGGAGCATTCGTGCATTTTACATGCATTTGCAAGTGTGTTTTATGTGAGTATTATACCTTAAAATATTCCTTTAAAAGAGACCTGTAGGCCGTGTACTCAAAGAACCGGGAGCGCCAGGCCATTGGTGTCTCAATAATCTCATTCCCAACAACCATCAGGATGTCACGTGGCATTGCTGCATACATCCCACTAGGAACTTCAAAGTCGGGTGTCTTGTAATCCTTAGAGAAATCCACAACGTCAGGTCTGCAGACAGTCACACCCTCTCCCTCTAGTATTCGACACAATTCCTCGATTTCAGCCGCTGCCTTTTGCAGAATGTCTGGTTGGTAAGGCTTCCCACCAAACTGCCTATAGAAGGGCCACAGTTCTTTTTCAATGCATGCTTGTACTTCAATAGTGAGCTTTGGCACGGTAGCTCCCTCAACCCGTCCCACGATCACTTCCTGCAACA